GATATTAACCAAGATGATTTCATTTTATATAATGAAATGCGTCAAATATTTCAAGTAAATGCAAATGATTCAATATTTTCTGGATGTTAATAAACATCTCAGAATCATGAATTTGTAAGATGCTAGAACAGAAAAGGCTTTTTACCAGGCAGTTTGCTTTTTCAAGTTTGGGGACATCTTTGTTTTGTTTTATTGGTTGTTGGGTTGTTGTTGTTTTTTCTTTTTGTAGTATTAAGTGAAATTTTAAATGATATTTTAATTTTAAATGCACAATTCTATTTGATGTCTGAACTAATTCATTTAGTAAGTTATTTGTACAAGTTAAGCCTAGAGTTAAAACAATTAATGTGTTTTATAATGATTTGTAAAGGACTATTTATAGCTAATATGGTTTTGTTTTCAATGAATTAAGAGAGATTAAATATATCTTTGTAAATTATTTTATGCCCTAGCTTAATTGGTCTACCAAGACATCACAAATGCAGTAGTATACATGAATTTTGTAAGTACAGAAATTTTATTAGACAGTCCCTTGCTTTTTGTAAACGCTGTAAATATTTCATAAATTAACAAAGGGTTACTCCATAAAAAGGGGGAAAAGCTAATACTAATAGCTTAAAGGATTTTGTGGAATTTCAGGAAAGATTTTTCATGGCAATGATGACTAAGACCTATTGTAATAATATATTAACGAAAGCATTAAAAAAAAGAAAAAGGCTTTTTGATATGATTTTCAATTCTACATTATACTAAGCTTTAAGTTTTAGTATAATATCAAAAGAATATTCCGAATTCAAAAGTTGATTAGGCAAGGTTGACATGGTAGGAGTTAAAACCTTACTATAAATTGTTAGAATTTTGAAAAAATACTGCCCAAGTCTTTACCAGAGTAATCAGAAACATGCATAATATTATGGTCAAGCTACAGTGTGCATCTGAGAGGTTCTCAGGCTAGATTTATTAAATAAATGGCACCCCATCAATCCTGAAACATGCAATACATTCTTGAGCCATCTTTGCAGATAAGTGTGACACATTTTTACTACTTACTACTTATAATTCTCAACTAGTTTTGTTTGCCTTACTATAGCAAATATGCATTACTTTTAAAATAAAATAACTTTAACAAATTATTAAATTTACAAATGAATATAAAGATATTAAAAACAAAATCCAGGCAACTATTGAAGATTAACAAAAGATGAATTATACTGCTTCATATTTTTCAAACTTTTCCATAAAACATACCCTATATGTTTACAATGGGTAGACAAAAAGCACAATTTAAAATCCTTCTGGGATCACAAAGAAACACTTGAATTGAAGAAAGGTAGATTCATTGGTTATTAGATTTATTTACTTATTCCACCTAACAGTTACAATTGAGGAGGGCTTGTGGTACAGAAGGTGCCCTGGTGGCAGAGTGGTTACACTTTGGTTATGAGCCATAAGGTCAGCAGTTCAAAACCACCAGCTGCTCCTTGAAAAGAAGACAGGGCTTTCTACTCCCGTTACAGTCTTGGAAACTCTGGAGAGAAGTTCTGCCCTGGTCTACACACTCACTGTGAGTTGGCATCAACTTGATGGCTGAGTTTTGGGGTGGCAGAGTGGGTTAAATATTGGGCTGTTAACTGGAAAATCAACTGTAAGGGTCCCCCCATTGCTTTGTGTGAAGTAGTCTGCTTCTATAAAGTTTACAACCTCTGAACACCTAGTGAGCAATTCTACTCTGGCCTAGAGAGTCTCTGTGCGTCAAAATCAACCCAACAACACTGGATTTGGATTCCGTTTTTGTTTTTTGTTTAATAATTATAATTGAACAACTACTTCTCAAACTAGTGCTCAAAGTTATATAGCCTTATCTATACTGTTATTAACATTAACTTCATTGTGAAGCTCCTATTAACAAAGAATAGTTTTAAGGCCCAGATTTACTCTGCCGCCCTTTGCTTGAGCACTTTGAATCTGAAAATTCTCTACACTTGTCTTTCCATTCAACTTGTCACCTTTTGTTTGCCCCAACTTTCAAGTTCCTTCTCTTCAAACTATCTGCAATAAGCATGACTCAAATTTTATAATATTCAAACTGAAATTCTCACAGGTAAGGAACAAAAAAAAAGTATATAAGTAATCAGCTTATGCTACACTTTAATATAGGGAGCTCACTGTTTGAAGGAGAATTACTATATACCTAACATGAAACATCCTTCAAATAGCACAGTGAGAAAGATCAAGATAGTTTTACACAAAGTGTGACTCATTAGATATTTGATGATTAAAAAGAGGTGGTCTAACTGTAAATGATGTTTTGATATCCACGTTACTTTATGAGTTAATGGACACCGTAACTTATTTGCTATAAGTATTTCAACAAATTTCATGTTACTGAAGTATGCAATCAAAAGTTATTTTTTTTAAACAGAAGAAGGTTAAGCAAACACTATATAAAGACCAAACTAGAATTTCCTTTCCCTGAACAAGTCTGGGCAGTTTTCTAACACTAAACCAACACAGTCAATTGTTAAGAGTCAGGAAAAGCTGCAACTATCAAATTCTGTGGGTCTATTGGGGAGGGGGGGCACCCTAAGCAAAACAAAATCACCAAAGCACCTTAAGTACTGTAAGGCAAAGCCACAAGGAAGGGTGTTTTTTGTTTGTTTTTTCTCTTGAGGGGTAGGGGGATAGGGAGGAGAGATGAAGGAATTTAAAAAAAGGCAAGACAGAAGAGCGAGGTTCGGAGACAATTCTAAAATGTAAGTCAATGACAGCATTATATTACTAGCTGTGTCTACTGATCAAAGTATGCTGCTGTTTTTCAGTACAATTCAACTCACAGGCAAAGGCAAGTTTTTGCATGTATTTGTCCTTAAACCCAAAAATTTACAAGTACAAACTTAAATTATCTGCCTCCATCCTGACTCTAAGTTCTAACTATTTTGAAATTATTTTTTATTAAGACTATTATAAAAAGATTTGCATCATGAATTTGTTCCAAAAAAAACAAACAAAAGTTAGTTCTGATAATGACTAAAATACCACATTTTCAGAAATGTTCATTAGCATTTCTAATTTTTAAGACAAGTCTTGTATTCTTACAGAAAATTTAAGATTAAGTAAAATACAAAATTCACATATTATTTGAAAACACAATCCCACCCCACTCACTTTTGCAAAATGAATGTCACTAAACACTTCATTTTCTATTTCAGTAGTCCTTTTAGGTTGCTTTTAGCTCATTAAACTGCACACAGCAAGAAAGTTTAACACTCCGAAAGACTCGTTAGTAGTTTGTGCTAGAATCTTCCTTTGAAGACCTTAAAGTACTTCAGGTCCTTAAAGGTATGCATTACTGAAGCTTATATCATTAAGATATATATTATCTTAATTTTTCCACCATTTTTCAGTCCAGAATGGTTCAAAGTAACAAATTACCACAGGCAATTTTGCTAGAAGTCTGAGGACTGTCTGTATAAGATATAAATGTGCACTATAAAAAAGTTTATAATGATAAGTGCATTAATACAAAATTCAAACTTATTGACTACTCATTTAGAAGTTATATTCTTAGGGAGCGAAGTACAAAACCAAATACATATTAAAAAATCAACAGACTCACTGACTAGAATGCAAATGTCTGCTTATAAGAAAAACATGAAAAGATTATTTTTTTCAAATCTGCAAAAACAAAATACCTCTTACTCTCAAACTCACTGCTATAGAGTGGATTCAGACTCAGTGATACGACAGGAGAGCAGACCGGCCTGTGTGAGGCTCAGAGACTGTAACTGCCTACAGAAGCAGAAAGCCACATCTGTGCCCTTCAGAGAGGCTAGTTTCAACCTACTGACCTTGAGATTCGGAGCACAATCCATAACCCACTATACTACCAGAGCTCCTTCTAAAATATCTCTACTCGGTAAGAATCTGTACAAATGAAATCAATACAGGCTAAACCCAAAAACCATTGGGATCACTGCCATTGGGATAACCCCGACTGGACAAGTTGCCTGAGAATGGACATCTTTAGATGACAAAAAGTTCATCTTTCTCCCATAGAGTGCTGGTGAGTTTGAACCGCAGACAGAATAGTCAGAAGCAAAAAGTTTAGAGCTATAAAAAGTTTGAATATAAAGGAAATAAAAACATACAACAGAATATGTTTCCATTAGCTTTTCCCAATTAGCACAAAACATCCCCTTTCACTTAGATTTAAAGTTTAATGGAAAAACGCATTATCCTCTTAGAACTACAGTAGCAGATTATCACAACATTGGTGGCTTGAAAGAAAAGCTATATATTCTCTCATAAATTCTCGAAGTCAAAAGTCGAAAATAACTCTCACTGGGTCCAATATCAAGTCTCCGTCTGGAGACTAAGGGAAAATATGTTCGGGGCCTTTTCCAGCATCCTGTGCCTACTAGCATCATTCCTTAGTTGATGGCTGCATCTCTCCGCTCTCTGCCTCCAAGATTATATTGTCTTTTCCTTTCTGTGTGCCGAGTATCTCCTTCTGGCTCTTATAAAGAAAGATACTTGCAGTTGAATTTTGAACCTACTTGAATCATTTAGCATAATCTCTGTATATTAACATATTTTACTTAACCATATCCACAAAGTCTTTGCCATAAATTACCTTTTACGGGTTCCAGGGATTTTGATACAGACAGCTTCTTGTTTGGGGAGGGTGTGGAGGGTATTTTCAGGCAACCACAGTCTGAAAAACCATTTCAATACCTATAATATTGCCAAAAAGGCTAAAATATGGTATCTTATCACCTTGATCTTTCAAATATCTCTTCTTGCATTAGCACTGACATAAATAAGATGCTCCAAAATATTATATTTAAAGTAAAAGATGAAAATATCTAATACCCAAAGCCCTAAAAAGTGTTTCTTCTTAACATATTAACAGGTCAAAAGTAGTATTTCTTGAAGCTAAAGAGGTCTTATCATGACAATCTATTTTATTCCAAATTTTAAAAGTAAATATAAGATCTCACCACCAGATCCTAATTGCTTGTAGAATCTGTATTCCAAATGTAGCTGTGGTGCTCTGGATTTCATAGGTTCCTAGTTTAAATAAAAAAGAAAATATTTAAATTATTGAAAAACCACACAGACCTGATTTCAAATGTTATTAAAAACCTTAGTGTCAAATTTCTAGGCTATACTATTACACTTGGCATCTTTGTCTAAGGTAGAGCTATATAAAAATCATTTTCACTTTTAAGAGAAAATAAGCTGATGCCATAAACACACACGCAGGTAAGTGGCTCCTCTGTCTCTGCCGCAATGGCGTCAACAGGAGTCGCTGCAAGCACTCATGACCTGCATGTGGCAGTCCTTATCCCCTTAGGCCACACCCAGAAATTCTCTCCTCAACTGCGCATTTCTGATGTAAAGCTCCAAATCAAGGCAGAGGAAAGTAGCAAAGCTATGGGCGATACGAAACCTTTCAAAGTAGTAACAATGCCTTTAATTATTTTTAAATTAAGGTATATTTTACATATAATAAAAAAACGTTTTTTAAGTGTTAGGTTCCCCAGTTTTGTTAGCTGCATATATTCCTGTAACCACCTACAGAACATTCCATCATCGCTTCTTCAGAGGTAACTTTACCTTAGGATTAGTTTAGCCTATTTTTGAGTTTCATATTAATGATATTATACAGTTATGTATGTTTTACATATATGCATCTGGCTTTTTTTATTGAACATCCATGCATGCTGTTACCCTAGTTTATTACTATTATTTCACTGAATTATATTCATTCACTCATTCACATTACAATTGAATATAAACAGTTATTTGTTTTCTTATTGGAAGTATGTGGATTTCTAAGCTATTGTGATTATAAACAAAGTAGCTAAAAATAATCTTGTCCACGTCTTATTGTGAGCATGATCATTCCTATTGGGTAAAGACCTAGGTGTGAGGAACTGTGAAGCAGTACAGTTCTTAAGGAACGGTCAATTTTCCAAAGTGGTTGTGTAGTTCTGCCTTCCCAACAAGTTTCAATTGCTCCATATCCTCATGTCTTCAATGGAGTGGTATTCCAATTAAAAGTCAACATTCATAATTCAACTTCTTATGAATTAATGTTGGAAATTTCCTCAGTGTGGCATTACTCATTTTGAAAAGAGAGCATTATAGAAATGCATAGAGATTCAAATTTAAGAATAAAAAGGAATGCTATTAGAATGTTTTAGCTTATTTATGAAGCATAAACAATTCCCAATGTTGGGATAGCTGCTTACTTTTTTTCCCCCAGAGACTACTTAACTGCATCTAGAGAACCGTTCAGTTAGAAAATCACAGAAACTATCACCCACTGGAGTGGCAGGGAAGGAAGTTTCAAAGAAACAGCTGGTTTGGGTTGCCTCTGACTATAGATAAAGATTAAAAAAAAAAACAAAAATTATCTATCTGTAGCTACATTTCCTGTTCCTACGATCTAGCAAAACTGAACAATCAGATCCAAAATAGTACATATACAAAGAAATGGGTGGGTGTGGGAGACCTGGTTGGGCAGGATCAAGGGGAACATAACAAAGAGGAAGTGCTGAAATCCTGGTGGGGACTGAGCATGATAGTGGGACAGGAGGAGAATCAA